TATAGTTAGCTCATCTGATTCACATCGAATTGACCACACGTCATGTGCTACAAATTGTAAAATCCGTCCAGAAAACTTTTTGAAGCGCACTTTGTTTGTTGCAAGGCTCCCGCTTAGCCAGAGCCAGAGCCATAGCCATAGCCAGAGCCAGCTCTCGTTTTTTGCCCAATCACAATTTTGTTAGAAATTTTGAAAGTACTGTAAAACGGACCAAACAACTTGCAGACGCCTCAAGAGTTTTCCATTAGCGGGCACTCTGAAACCAATCGCAATCGCAATCGCAATCACTGACACCAACTCTGTTACAATGCGTTGCTCACTCAGTCTCTATCTCTATCTGTATCGGTATCTGTATCTCTATCTCTGTCTTCCTTTCACACTGTTGCGCATTTTTCTGTCACAATCGAGGACGCATTCAGACAAGCCAAGCCAAATGAGCAAATGTCACTGCCAGCTAAATAGTTCTAGAGTTAAATACTTATAATTATACTTGAAGGTTCCCGTGCAAAGGGCAGCTCACGAGTCACGAATCACGAGTCACGAGTCACGAATCATGCTAACAGAGCCTGACAATTCCACAGTTGGTATGCAAAAAAAAAAAAAAAAAAAAAAAAAAAAAATCAGGAATCATCTGCACTTGCTCACACACACCTACACACACACACACACACGAACATCCTTCGTTGCTATTTGTTTTCTCACTACAGCATACTCAAAGACGCATTAGATTTTAGCCAACAAGGTTTGAGGATAATAAGAAAAGCAATTGGAAGAAAATAAGAGAAAATTACTTCTAGGTCGCTAATAGAGAGAATGGAAAACGAAAAAAGAAAAAACAATAATTATAACAATAAAGAAATAAATAACAAAGTAATTTAAGCGTTTTTTTTTTAACAGCTTATAGCCAAATATGCATAAGGCTAAAATCTAGTTAAAAACAAATACAAATACAAATAATATAATGAAAATACTTGGTGTACAAGGAAACTAAATAATTATTAAAAACACAAAGAAAAAAACAAAACAAAAAAATTAGTTTGTTCGTGTTTTTTTTTTCCTCAAGCCAAGTAAAGAGAGAACATAAGTAAGAGAATTGAATACATACTGAATGCTATGCAAAAGGATAACAACAAGATATATATAAATCATGTAAAAATCACATATTAAATATATATAGAATAATAAATGATATATATACACACACACATATATATCTATACGCATATGAATATGTGTATCCGTATATATATCCATGCAGATATTCTATATAATTGCATAATAGAAGGAAATTGCCATTAGTTGTTAGTGTTAATGCGATACGTACAGGCATATACATGCACACACATGCGTGGATGTGCGTATGTGTATATGCGTGGTAGGGATACCTCTGCCAGGTATACAGCTCACAATGAATTCTAGCTAGCGATGCAGGTGCAAATGCAGGTGCAGGGCTCAGCAAGGCATATGAGAATTGTAACTCAACTTGAACTAAAGAAGCAATTGTAAAATATCTCAACTCTGAATATATACCTAGATATATATATAGATAATGTTAAGAGCCAATATCGAATATTGAATATTGTATATCGTATATCGTACATCGTATATCGAAATCGTAACGTGTTCTTTTTCCAATGCAAACCTTTATTTTTCAAAGTGTTTGCCGCAATATTAACTACGAGCGAAATATAAAATAAATACAAATACAAATAATATTTCATAAATATGATAAGTAAATACGAATTGTGTATTAGCTACGATTATAATAAATACTCATACGCCACATACACACATAAACACACACACACACACACAAACACATCTTAACTAGACGATAAAGCCCTAGCAGCCATAAGCAGTTAACCGAACAGACAACTTTAGCTCCCCAGCCTCAAGTACACTAATACAAGCGCATCTTGACTACTCTTCTTCTTCACTAGCATTTGGCGTGATCTCGACGGGGAAGCAACAGAAGCTGAACCTGAATGCTGCCCAGGCAGCTCCTCCGTCAGCATTGTTTAGATCAAGAGCTAATCAAATCCTTTTCTCTATTCTCTCTCATGCATAAATACTACTCGATCGGCACTTGGGTAGTATGTATGTGTGTGTGCTCAGCCCTATGCTCTCTAGCCAGCCTACTGATTTTGCTTCATTGTTTATTCGGCAAATTGAACGAATACATATCATTGTTTAATTGGATTCAGTAGAACACTCAAATCTGAGAGGTCCACACTTCTGTCTCCCTCTATGTCTAGCTCTGCTTCTCTGTGACTCTCGCTTTACGAACACTGCCGCCTTCAGGCTTTCCGCATCGTTCGCTCTCTCTCTCCCACACTCCCAGTTAAATAGCAATCTCTATGCACATCCGGTATCAAAATCGACGTACAGCAAATAGGTCAATTGTCAAAATTAATCGAATTATATTGGTGAAATTTTTGCACTTTATATTCTTTTAAAGACAAACAACAAACAAACAAAAAAAAACAAAATAACAAAAAAGA